TAGTCCTCAGGCTCTGCTCTGTCCTCCATCGTCTGCTCCATCATCCAGCCTCCCGGGGCATCGTCGTGTCCTTGGCAGAGCCCTGAGCCCTGTCCGGAGGTCTTCAGGGCCCCTCCCCACCCACCGTCTCAGGTACCAACACTTCAGCCTTGCGTTAGGACCCTCTCACTGAGGTCTCAAGCTGCCTTTCTCTTTCTGGCCCTGGACAAGCCCCACATCTCAGCTGCCAAAGCCAGTTTCCAGTTGCTTCTCCGTCCATTCCACAACTATTTTTTGAGACCCTACCATGGGTGAGCTCTGCCCTGGGGTCGTCAGTGAGCTCCAGCTCCAGCCCGAGCCCCACTGCCCTACGGCCCGACGGGGGGGTGGGGGGGTGCAGTCAGTAATCCCACAGATAACTGTCAATAGTGATAAGCTTTATGAAGGGGGGAGGCTTGGGACGCTGAAAGCACTCGATGGGTGGGGTGCACGTCAGGGAAGGCCCCCTGAGGAAGGGCCAGGAGCGGGGATCCAAAGGATGGGTGGGCGTTAACTGGACAAACAGGGGAGGGCTGGGATATGCCCTCTGAGGGGATAGAGGCGGGTAAAGAAATGACAGGCGTGGGAGACCAGGAGGAGACGGAGGGGAGAAACGAGGCTGGGAGGTGGGCAGGGGTGGACAGTGAACACATGCCCTGCTGCCTGCCTCCTGGAACATTCTAGTCTTCCATGCCCCCGTTTGGAAATCCTGCCATTCCTGGCCCAGGTTAGTCACTGCCGACTCTGTAACCCCCTCAGGTGCTCCCACCCCGCCCACAGGCTTCTTCCCAGGCTTCTCCAGCTTGCAGCAGAGTCCTTGGCCTTCTCCCTGAGACCTTTTGATCCTGACATTGATCCCACAAGTACTCACTGTACAGGTGGTCACTGTTGGCTGATTAGTTGGATAGCTGGCCGATTAGTCATCCCCAGATGTTTGAATAGCCCCAGGAGGGCTCTTCCTCCAGATTTCCCCACAAGGCAGAACTAAGGCCGGGGACACAGTTACAGAGAGCGTGTCTTCCTATCAGGCTTGTTCTACCACGAATGCCCACGGCCACAAGTTCCCTCCACTTGCAGTGAGTGCCTTTGCCCAGAGTAGGACTTCGCAACCTTAGCACTACTGACATTTGGGGCCAGAGAAGTCTTTGGTGTGGGGACTGTCCTATGCATCGCACGGTGTTTAGTAGCATCCCTGGCCTCTACCCACTGGGTGCGAGTAACGTACTCCTTCCCATTGGGACAACCAAAAAGATGCCAGACATTGCCAGATGTTCCCTGGGGGGCAGAATAGTTCTCTGTTGAGAACCACTGGCCTAGAGAGAGTCAACAGAATCTCGTACTATCTACTGGGACTGCCGGAGCAGGAATTCCTATGTTGGATTGAACTAGGTGACCATTCCTAAGATGCTGTGAATTTACGAATACTTGCTTGCATGTACAGTCATACAAGTACTGGAGATGGAAGGATCCCACAGGTCACCCTAGACTGTAACGTAACAACCTCATGGTATAGATGGGAAATGTGAGGCCCAGAGACAGGTAGAGAACGTAGGGCCAGACTGGTCTTATGACTCCCACCCCAGGGCTCTTTCAATCTCACCTCCGGGACCCAGGCTCTGCCTGTTACTTAGGTCCCTGTGAGGACTGGACCTCCTCCTTCCATCAGTACTGATCTGTAGGTGCCTGGGTCCCTGAGTGCGTGCTGCAGCAGGACCCTGGGTTATGTGCTAGGACATTCCCCCTGAGTCTCAGCAAACTGCATGATGTCTTCATGAGCCCTGCGTCCATGGCAATCCGGACTTTGCACTTAGTCTGGAAATTTTTTGCATGGTATTCCTCTCCCCCTTTCCTGGCGAACACATATCCTAGTGTTGAAACCGTTCTCTCGTTCACATCACTAGAACAATCAACATCTTTATCTCCCTGCCTGAATTCTCAATCCTAACCTTGCCCTATTGGATGCCTTGAACCCTGGCTCCACTGCTTCCTGAGTTCTTGACCCTGGGCCAGCCTCTTAACCCTGAACCTCAGTTACCTAGCCTGTAAAATAGGCTAGTAACGGTCC